GTGAAAATCCAGGTGAAGGGGAGCTATAGGCAAACGAATGCAAATAACAAATACTTTTCATTACGGTCAAACGGTATCGCATATCAGCTCTGTGTGTCAGGCACTGGTCAGGTAAAACTCCGGACACTCATAAAATTCGTATTTACCTGTTCTGTTACCTTGGAGCCAAACCCATTCTTGACAGCCTTACGGTCGCTGTAATTCTGTGTAACACGCATTGTGAAATTGTATAATCTTGATTACTGTGATGAGAAATTACAGATATATACACAGTGTACATTATCGCATACAAGCCTTCCGTATTTTTGTCATTCCGTAATTTTGATCTACAAATGATACGAAATCGCACAGTTGAGCGGAAAGAAGCGCACAACGGGGCGAACGATTGCTAAATCGCACAGTTGTGCGCACCATGTGTGGACGATGTGCGGACGGTGTGTGAACGATGTATGCACGGTGTGCGCACGCTATTTTTGGTGCGTTGTGCGGTCCCACAACTGTAACAACCCAGACCATTATATACTACTCCCCCAAACAGCTTAGTAATGATATATGTCTGTAATATTTGAAACTGCATGGATGTTACCTGATTTCAATATTGGCATGTCTTTTGCAACTTTCCATTTGTTTGGTTAAAGGCCTAAAGGAGAGAGAGGTTAAAAATAATTGAGAGGGGGAGGGCGGGCGATCGCTTTCGTTATATATTTTAGCATTCTCTGACTTATTCCATCAGGTCCTGTTGATTTGTAAATATCTAATATTTTCATTAAAAGTAGATCTACATGTAGATTTCATTACTGGTGGTTGTCTGCTAGCATAAAACGTATGTGGAACAAGTGTGTAGCCAAACAAAAATAAATTCAAAATTTCAAGAAATTAATAACCAAAACGCCTTTGTATTTTATTGATTATGCATTTATATTCAAGTATGCAATCCTACCCCTGTTGATGAAGGGAGAACAAATCAAAATAACATAGCAGCCTATATTGCCGGGAAAATGTCATTAAAACCCGTGGATGTATAAAAACTTGGTTGTGATTTTCGGGTGAGCCTGGTTTCAGCAGCCACCTGTCTTAAACGGTCAATTTCTACCGGTCCCTTGGGTGGCCTGTTAATACAGGTTTGACTGTATTTTAACTTCAGATAGAAAAACCTTTATGTTATAGATATAATAAGATCAAGTAAAGTTGAGGATGAACGAGTGGTTCTAGTTGGCTCAGTAATAATATTCGACATGTTTAATGTAGAAAGCGTATGTTGAGGTTCCCCCTGCCAAGTTTCAAACAATCAACATTTTGATCACCCAATAGCTATCACAAGGAGGCAAGCACACCAACATACCATGTTTCCTGCATACACACATGCAAGCACGCATACACTACGCACATTTAGGCACGTCCTTAAATGACCTTAGCTGTTAATAGGACGTTAAACAAAATTAAACTAAACCAAACCAGATATTACATTGTTAGTAATGTCGAAAGCCAAATCAAAGATGTGCTTCAGGCCCTGCCACAGACCGCTGCCCTGCAGGTAGGGCGTAAGAATTGTACCTGCTGCCCCCAATTGCATGATCGTAAGAGGCGACTAAATTTGGGACCTTATCTCTTCTCTCCTTTCTAAATAACTTTATTCTTCCTAATGTCTCCCTTGACAATGCCTCACTTTTGGCCATTTGTTGAGCGTTCGCCCCTGTGAGGAAGGCTTTGGGTTCTGTCCCCTGGCCGAGACATACCAAAGTCTTTAAAAATGGTAGTTTCTACTCCTGCTTAACGCTCAGCAAATTAGGAGTGGGACGACTGGTTCGCCCGTTGTCAGTATAATGTGACCGGGTGGGGCGTCCTGCTGGGTGTCTTCGGCAGTATGTTTCAGTGAGGTAGCACTATAAAGTCGGCATCAGTTCCGCGCTATCACAAGGAGATAAACACGAACATATCGCAGCCTCCCAAAATACACACACATACATTACACGCATGCATCTTGCACACAGGGGAGGCCGTCCTTAAATGACCTTAGCTGTTAATAGGACGTTAAACAAAATCAAACAAACAAACAAACAAAGCCACAGACCGTCCGTGTTAACTGCATTTGGTGGTCTGTAGAGATTCCAAATCAAATATGTCGTATTTTGGAAACTTACTTTTTAAGGTCTGTTTGTCGTTTAACAGCAAGTGATGGTGAATAATATATGGCTACTCCACCACCGAACATGTTTCTATCTCTCTTCTGAAGGGATTGTCAAAAAAAACGTCCGCCTGTATTGGGTATACTAGGGTCTAAATGGGTTTCGGTTAAGCAAAGGATATTAATGTCATCTGTCAATGATTCTAAATAACTAGCTTTATTTCTTAAACTTCTGATATTTAAGCGCATTAAATTAAGAGAATCAACACAAGTAGTGTTCATTGATGAGTTAGGACCTGGGTTAGGATGTACATCGTCTGATAAAGACAACTATATACTAATAGTGGTGAATAAGCTGTCGTCAATGACGCTATGAAGGAGGAATAAGTATACTGTAATTCAGAACATAGAGTAATCCTGGGGGATTTTAAAATAAAAGCTAACAGGAACAGATGCTAATTTTTGTGTGAATACAACTTATAGCAGTCCTCCACGCTCCGACCTCAATGCCATTCGTAGCGTATCATCGTCGACATCATTGGAAGGAATGTACAGTTGCATTAGAAGGGGGACGATAGGAAAGAAGGGCAGAAGTAGAGGTGGTGAGAGATAAGGTTTGATATTTACTTGAGTTATATAAGGCAGAACACATTTAATCATTTCCATATGGTTGGAAACTTACTTTGATTAGCGGTATGAATGGTGACTATTTATGTTAAGTATATGAATACAGATGTGTTATGGACGTTGTATTAAATACGTTGAATCGGGGTAAAGGGTTAAAGAAGTTATGTATGATACAATCCTGGATATTTTCTTAAATGTTGGAATACCCAGTACGCATATTACTGATGATGTTGTATACACTGCAAAAACGAACTGCAGTATATATTGTATAACACGCCTTACTACAAACGACATGGCTATTGAGTGTCAGACAATTATTTTAATAATAAAGATACAGAAAATCTTAAAAATAAATTAACATTTGGTAAATGAAATTACATGTATTTGTTTTATTAACAGAAGTAAACGGCTCATTTGTCTCAGCTCAAGGTCTCGACGTCCTTTAAGATGTTTCAACCGATATTCATATGCTTTAGATACCCAAGTCCGAAACGTACATGTACTTTGGGTATCAATGGGGTTTATTGTCTTTTCTAGATCGTTAGGTACTATTTTAGTGATTTAGGGAATAAAACTGTATTTTTCACACGAGAATCATCAAAGGACGATCAACTTTCAATATTTGAACACTTCATTCCGACCAATACATAATTTTTATAAGTGTTGATCAAATATACAGTTACTGATTGAAGTATCTCATTTGAAGATTATTTGTGATTATCCTGAAAATAATTGTCCGCCGCTCAATAAAAGTGTTCTTTGTAAAACTGTATGCGAACCTTATGTTCCTCTCGCGTATATTTGTATCTAATTATAAAATTTGCATAAGGTTTGAAGAAGCGTATACGATGTTTATTTTTAGTGAAGAAAAAGGCACGTGTATCGCTCTCACGATACAATCATCTGTTATTTTTATTTAAACATATTTTTATTTGCATCTAGTATACATAAGGGATTGGGCACAAATTGTCCAATTCATACAAAGCCTTTTCCCAATAACATGATAAAATGTAATCATCTTCTTGACAGCGTCCAAGAATTCACGAAAACTGACATTAATAGTTGATGGTAAATGTCGTTTCCTCTGTGGATCGAAATAAAAAGGAATTGGAATCGAGCGACACTAAGTCATATACTGTCGAAAGTTTGTTATAATTTTGTATATCCAGTGTGTTGGGTTTTGATAAAATGACTTTGTACCCAATCTGACCAATGTTAGCAAGACTGAGTGAATGTATTTAGGGTATTCCGTCTTTTCGTATTGCAGAGTTATTTGTTTGTGAGAGTAACGTCATCAATTTTTGAGAAAACGACGTAATTTTCTCACACAAACCAATGACGTAACAATGAATACCTGCTCACAAAAGAAGATACTGTAATACGAAAGGACGGAATACGCTGCATACATACATTTACAAAGTGACATATTTCATCTTTCCAAAGAGTTAATAACCTGTAAATACGTCAGACCTGTTAAATTTACTACAGTAATTGAAATATTGTCCTTATTAAATCATGGAAGACATTTTTGATCTGTGCGCAAGACTAATTATGCTTTTAATTCTTAGGTGATATTAAAACATTTCTATGAGGTTGGTTAAAAAATAAAGGGAGATAACTCTAAACACACCATACGTTATGTATAAATAGGTAAACACATTTGTATTTCATTTCAAAAACATTAATGAATAGACTGTAGATTTTCAGCGTTATCGATAAATTGTCATCTCGGCGAAAACCTCATCTATATTATACAGTGATGTGTTAGATCACGTGCCACGATCAGCTGCTGTTCATAACACTTTTTCACTACCACGTGTAGCGATGGCTTTCTATCTATAATATGATGTCATAGACGTCCGCTTTACCGCCATTAAATGTCTCACATCTCCGCCCATTGGCATACATGTATCTTGTAGATTTTTATTGACATGCTTGGTACGACGTAACACCCAATCAGGAGCTGTTCATTCTATGAAATCAATTATTACAGCTTAATTGAATATTCTGGACGATGCCGCGTCTATATATATTTAGGACAAACAGAGGAGGCGAGTGAGTTGATTTAGAAAATCAATGCCTCAAATACAATACTGTCTTAAACACTCTGTATCTCCGTGAAATTGTACTTACAAGTCGGTGTGTTGAAGATCTTCAATTGTGATTAAGACATGCTGTCAAAAGTGTAGATACAGACATGTTGGGAAAATGTTTTTATATTTACATTTTTCTTTCAAATTCATGTTTGATGAACTCGTTACAGTATGTATCAGCCGTGACAGAGATCAAAGTCGGTGTGTTACTAATGACAGAAGCGGTAGAACCGTTCGATTTGCGCCGCGTCAAACCTGCTTTAGACATCGCATTTGAATTCTCAGAAAGCTATTATGGAATAAAATATAATCCAATTACGTTGAATTATACAGGGTTTTGTCCAAAGCAGTCTTCCATTGGACACTTTTCAGAACTCTACTACGAACATAATGTTCATGCAGTTATAGGACCCGCCTGTTCGGAAACCATCTTATCCATAGGTAGACTTGCACAGTACTTGCATACTCCGATGGTTAGTGGTGTCGGCGACCTCATCATTCGGAGTCCTTCAGACATGTACACGACTTTTACAAGGATGTCATACAATCTTGGGAAGTTTTCAAGTAAGTATGGATTGAACTAATTTCAATATCATTAGGATGAAATCGTCCTTCGTCTCAACTCTTCCCGTTAAAGAGATATGCTACGTCACTATCGTATGTGTCTCCCTGCCAAAAGGTGTCTACATCTGTAAAAATATATTTTTATAAATGGCACATGTGTGAGGTACACAAGATTTGATGACACATTTGAAAGATTGATTATTATTATAATTATTATTATTAGCTTAACATTGAAGGCTGGAGTGCCGTTCGGTTATCGAATTTTTACACACATTTAAACGTATGTAAGGAAGGATTAGATATGTATGCCTAACATGTGCATATAACGTTAAATTAAGTAGACTACAGCTATTCTAGTAGGCAATACATTAATGAACGACCAACAGCAAAATGAAATCATTTACTCCGAGACACCGTCTTCGCTTAATGTAAAGACGCCATGTTTTACAGCTATATTGACAGAAAAAAGAGAAATTTAAACAGTATGCTCGATCGTTATTATCAAATTTAGATAATTGTTCATGTTCTGTTCTTGCACGAGAGGGCATTATGGCCAACAGTTAAGCTTTTGTTTTTTTCGAGCGATGCCAATGTGGGCAATAGTGTTCTTGCAGGAAAGTGAGAATACTTCAAAATTATGAAGAAATACAAAAAAGAAGGTAGTTTTTCCAAAAAGAGCAAAATGAAGCCATTTATGATTTGGATCCCCCAGTTTACCCTCACATATCTCGGAATGGTCTCAAAGCTGTCCTGAATTTTATATCATATCATGATAGTGTAACCCATATTATATATTTCAGTACTCGAGTGTGTTGTATTGTATATGTAATACAGTGAAATACAAAGTCAGAAAAAGCATATAATTTACTATGGGTAATAGCATTAAGCGTTTTAGAAAGGATCTTAGACGTAAAATAAAAGAAACGAGAAGCAATAATCCTAGAGATTATTGGAAACTTTTAAAATCTCCTGGAGACAGAAAAAAGAAAAATAATATATCAATTGATCTGCCCCTTATAATCATATTGATGTAAAATTGATAACTGCTAATGATTTTTTACATAGGAAAATAACAAGAGAGGAGGGTGAACGTGCTATTTTTAAATTTATTGAAAAAGAACAAGGCCTGTTCAGATGATCACATAGCGAGCGAATACATAAAACACTTTTCTTTTAAAATGACAGATGTATATGTTAAATTGTTCAATGTTGTTTTAAGCACTGGAAAACTTCCAGAGAGCTGGCTAAGGGGCTCTATTGTTCCTATTTTCAAGAATAAAGGGTTGTCTAAAGACCCCAAAAATTATAGACCCATCACTATTGTTAGCTGCTTTGGTAATTATTTAATAGTATTTTAAACGAAAGACTCCAGAAGTACTCGGATGAGTATAGTTTGATATGTTAAAACCAAGCTGGATTTCGGGAGAATTACTCAACTGTTGATACTATTTTGTATTGTTCACATTAATTAATCTTACTTATATGACGGAAAAAACTTAACTGCATTTGCATTGATTTCGAAAAAGCATAAGATATAGTTTGGAGGAATGGACCCTGGAACAAAATGTTATTTTTACCATATTAATGGCAAAATGTATTCTATTATATACAATATGTACCAAGGCATTAAGTCTAAGATAACTTTTAATGGTCAAAATTTTTTCCCCATGTGATAACAGTTTGAGACAAACTGTCAAACCCATATTACTGTAAGGATGTGAGATTTGGGGATATACAAACCTACAAGTTATTGAACGTATACATCTTAAATTTTGTAAATTACTGTTAGGGCTCGAGAGAAGTTCACCTTATATGGTTTATGGAGAACTAGGTACTTGTCCATTAACAGTTTCAGTGGAATCCAGAATGATAACGAATTGGTCACACAAGATTGATTCCAAAGAATGTATATTAAATGTTATCATGTCTTATTTGCTATGTCATAATCAAATTCATGGTAATAATGCAGTCCCCTATTTAAGTTGTATCCATCAGATATTAAATAATTGTGGCTTAACTTACATTTGGAATGCACATTTCGTAGAAAAATTAAATAATTCCTAGTTAAAATTAAATGTTTAACAAATTCTCTATGACCAATTTGTTCGAAATTGGGAAAATGATGCATTTAATTCATCGAGAGCAATGTCATGATTTTTAGAGAAAAGTACAATTTTGAAGATTATTTAGATCTTTTAACTGATAACGAAAGACGTGTTTTGTGAAAATTTAAGTCAATGAATCACAAATTTATCATCGAGACCAGAAGACGGGATAGCATTGACCGTCAGAATAGGACAGAACATATTATAACAGCCGGTAAATTGGAGACGAATTTCATTACCTATTGCAATGTCCATCACTAACTGAATTCAGAAAAAACATATTTTGTTAAGAACTATTATATTAGAGCTATCATTTTAAAGTTTAACGAGCCGATACATTTCAAACATGTAGGTACCTTGAAGATACTATGTGCATTTATAAGAATAATCTTTAATAATATTTGTCCTCCGTGATATGAATAATTGCAATAATATTGATGGGATTGTGAATGTGTGATTTACCTAATGAACAACTGTATTGTAAATAAGCTTGTAAACATGTTTCTCTATACTTTGTATTGTAAAGAGAATAAACTGAATTGAATTGTGCCTGTGTGACCTGTAGCTGACGGTACTTTGCCAATTGTGAGTGTACACGCGTTCTATGGGATGTGATCAAACCGGTTTCGAGTTCTTATGATAATTTGTGGAAGTTACTTACATTATTATTTAATAAAACCTGCTTTCCCGATCCCGCAACTACATAAACGGCGTGATCTTAAACGGCTTAGCCGAAAAATGACATTGATGGTAATACATTTGAAAACGATTGTGTTTTGGATGTTATGAAGAAAAGACGCATCAGTTATATTAAAAAAAAAACAGTTAAAGCGCAGTATGACATTTATGTTTTGTTTTTTCAAAATCTTTAAAAACCAAAATGACTAAACTCAAATTTACGTTATAAATTTACATATGTATTAATACGAGGCTAACACACCCTGTCTCCGGCATACATACACGCATGCATGCATACACAACACACAAGGAGACACGTCCTGAAATGACCTTAACTGTTAATAGGACGCTAAATAAAATAAAACAAAACCTATACGAGGCTATGACGCGACCGGTTTTGTTATCGACACGTGTTAACTCCGACACGGTATTGTGTCCTGTTTAATATCGACCAGTTCATTACTGTCTAGTCATCGCTTATTAACGAAAGTGCCGGCTCGGTTAATATTCATTAAGTTATTGTTATACATAATTGGTGGATATCAGAATTCAATAAACTTCCTACTATCTATTATATTCTTGTATGAATGAGAGGAAAAGAAATGGTAATTGCTTTAATAAAATGCGTTTAACACTTCTGAAATGTTATGTGCATGGTATAGAACACGTAACACAGACAAGACAGGTTATAAAATAACTGGAAGTGTCCTCTGCTAATTCTAGGTCAAAATCGATATCCCTCAGGTCATTACTGTTGCTGTTCATTGTAGATGCGATGTCCTCCAAAGTCAATATTCATCTATTTCCAGTTTCACTTTTCCCTTTATTGTTTAACTCCTAGTACGTTAAAAATTAGCAATGCTGTTGAACAGTTGAGCATGTGGTGTTTTTTGTTGCCAGGGGAATAAAGTCTTGGTTATCATTGCGTTTGTATTTGGTTGAGGAGATACAGTCGTAGTTGTTTCTGCGTTTGTCGTCTATAGGAAAATGTCAAGGAATTAAAATCACGGAATCTATTTATGGGCGGCTCAAATAAATAAATAATGTCTATTATTATAGGAGGTCATATAATATTTTGTCGGTCAATCATATCCAATGAAAAAGATGAAGTAATGATAAAGGACCATCAATAATATATGAACCTGATCTGAGGAATATTTACCAAAGCTTGCCAAACGCCTCGGTAGACATTCACTCAGATCAAGACTGTAACTATTATCTATTAACTTAAATACTAGTATACAATTGTTTCATTATGTTTCACTTTTCATTAAACCCTATCGGAGTTGTGAATTCACAACATGATCATAAATACTATCCTCTGAGAGATCGAATAACTAAATAAACTGATCGGAGCCGAGCTGATTCCTACTGTAGTATCCATAGAGTCTTCACACTTACGTCATCCATCAAATGAGAAATAATAAGAAAGTCAGATTTCCGTATTACAATGAATCTTCGATAATCACGATTCTTAAAAATATCTTACCAGTGTCATTGGCACCAATAATTCGAGATGAAAACATATATGTACATCATAGTGGTTCTCGAATAACGATGCCAATGACAGGATATATTCCGAAAGAGTTGGCGATCTGTAAAAGTGTCATCACAGCAACACAGGGAAGCCAGAATTTGTTACAGCAGCTATTTATTTGGACATAAACTGACAATGTTCAAAGTCATAACAGACCTGTTAGATATTAAGATTATTTGTCGCTAAATATACCCCACCATCCCCCCATCAACCAATTATGCTAAATAAGATAAAACATTTTTGTTTTTACAATTTAATCTTAATTCCTGAAGCGTATAATATTACTCTGAACACATCAGTACATGTAGGTCCTAACATAGCTGATTGATAACAGGTAACAAAGTCTTATCTCAATATGTATTTCAGCAATGGAGATCTCCGAGACCGAAAAACCCCGATTATCAATTTAATCTCAAACGAATTTATGTGTGGTTTCGTTTTAACGAGTTACATGTACATTTCATAGATGTATTATTCAACATATATATTTAAACAGGTTTTATCAAGGTATTCTAATTTTCATGATTTTCGCGGCAGCAATTTTGTCCGCGAAATATACAATATCGCATTTAACCGTCCACAATGTATTAATTACCATGGCAATTAATCTTGAAATTCTGAAAATAAAAATCCCTCGAAAATGAGCATATAACAAACGGCAAAGGCTGGGGAACGTGAAAAAAGAGTTTTGCAGAAGTATGCAATATCAATATTTATTAAAGGATGAAAATAACAAAGACTCGAGGTTCTAATTAACCGCTTTATGATATCACAACGTAGGTCGTCTCAAAGCGGTTCACAAATTATTATCCGTGGTTATAGGGCCTTTGCAACCAGCCAATATATGTCTCAACTCCCTGGGGAGCATACAGCCGTTGCTGCCATTTCGGCGCTCACAACTAGCATTCAACAATTCTAGCACTACCCAATCACGTATTCATTAACAGCTGAGAAGACTGGAACAAGCAGAGTAAATAATCTTGCTCAAAGATAAATACAGTGCCTACGTAGCCTTGCCGTGACTCGAACCCGCTGCCCTGCAGGTAGGGCGTAAGAATTGTACCTGCTGCCCCCAATTGCATGATCGTAAGAGGCGACTAAATTTGGGACCTTATCTCTTCTCTCCTTTCTAAATAACTTTCTTTTTCCTAATGTCTCCCTTGACAATGCCTCACTTTTGGCCATTTGTTGAGCGTTCGCCCCTGTGAGGAAGGCTTTGGGTTCTGTCCCCTGGCCGAGACATACCAAAGTCTTTAAAAATGGTAGTTTCTACTCCTGCTTAACGCTCAGCAAATTAGGAGTGGGACGACTGGTTCGCCCGTTGTCAGTATAATGTGACCGGGTGGGGCGTCCTGCTGGGTGTCTTCGGCAGTATGTTTCAGTGAGGTAGCACTATAAAGTCGGCATCAGTTCCGCGCTATTACAAGAAGACAAACACGAACATATCGCAGCCTCCCAAAATACACACACATACACTACACGCATGCATCTTGCACACAGGGGAGGCCGTCCTTAAATGACCTTAGCTGTTAATAGGACGTTAAACAAAATCAAACACAAAAAAAAGGCTCGAACCCGCAACCCTTTTGCCATGAGCCCTGCGTCCTACCACTAGACTACCGTGCCTCCTATACAGTATACAGATATTACGAGTAGTTTGGTTTGTGTTGTTTTATTTTGTTTATCGTCGTATCAACATCTAAGGTAATTTAAGGACGTTTGTAAGGTAAGTTTGGGGTATTTGCCCCTTTGTGATAGCGCGGATCTGATGCCGACTTTATGGTGCTATTTCACTGAAAAACTATGCCGAATGCACACAGCACAGCATTCTGCCCGGTCACATTATACTGACAACGGTTGAACCAGTTGTTGCCATTTTCCCAAATGCTGAACATTAAGCAGGAAATACCATTTTAAGGACTTTGTTATGTCCCTGCCTGGGGACAAAACCCATTGCATTCCTCACCTGGACGAAGGTTCAACATTAAAGACAAAAGTGAGGTATTGCCAAGCAAGGCTCTAGGAAATAAAAGGTAGTTAGAATTAGAGAGAAATAAGTGCAGAAGATTTATTATGATCGCTTTTGTATTCCCAAGTTGAGGGCACAAAAGCAAATCCCCAATTCTGCAGGCGGTTTCCGCATTAGTCGTCTCTTACGATGCATGCAGTGTGTAACAGTAGGTGTATTCTTATTTCGATCTCCGACCTGCAGAGGTGCTGTACCTAGTTCACGACGGAGACCACACTGTGTAGGGACACTAAATACACCATGCTGACGACACAGTTTTCAGCACGGCTGTACATATATGTGTATATATTCAAGCAAAAAAACATTCTTATCTATGTCTAAATAAAGCAATTGATTTGTGAGTTAATTAATCTATTTTGAATTATTTATTTATATATTTTTTTTGACTTTCATTTTTTTTTCTTTTTTTTCTTCTGTTTGTAAGTCCACATTGTTCGTGGAATTACCAGGTTTAAAAGTATACATGCATTACATCAAAACATTAACGCAGAGGCTCATACATGTACTTAATTAACAGTTGTTAATGTCTTCAATCTTTCGCAGTACAAGGTTAACTATGTACCTTAGTGCTATAAAGTCAAAAGATTCACAAAAATAAACCCGTTCTATGCTGACAAAAGTAATTTTATGCTTGTCTTACGTTAGATTAGCATGTTGTTTCTCAATCTGACCGCTTCTTACGACTACATGTTGACCATAACAGCCTTGAGTGAACAGAGATAAGGATGTTATAATTATACCAATCGGACGTTTTCGTTTTCATGACTGCATTGTGCAGATACCTACATTATAACTTTGCCATTATTTTTGTTCTTTCTTTTTGATTTTCTTCTCGTCAATTAAGGCCCGATTAACCAGTGACATGAGCATAACCGTTGTCCTTTGTAAAGACTTTTGATCTATTTTTGCTAAACTATAAAATATCGCTAATGAAAAATTGCGGTAAACGAAACGGATGCAAAAGAATGAGACAAAATACACTACATGCACTTAAGTCCGGCATACCAGACTTCAACTTTAATTGAAAGAGATTTTATAACCAAGATCTAATATTTACAGCTTCCGTGATGTCTTTGATGAGCAAATACGGATGGAGACATATCTCCATCATCTATGACGTGGAATATATCTTTTTTGAGCTGGCAGGTGTCAATCTAGTCAGGGATTTCGTTAACCACGCCTCCTGGCCACGCCCCCTCGACTTACAGTTTGGATCATCCAAACTTAGCGATCCGGGAACTTTACTGACGACGGCAAGTCGACAATCAAGGGGTAATGTTAATTATATTAATAACGTATATGGCGTATTTGATGTACGTAGGCGAAGCTGTTCAAGTATAGAATGTTTTTAGTTCATTGTTCATTGTTCTTGCAAAATATATTTTTTCTTCAAGGAATTCGACATTAGTTGCACAAACTTGTCTAGGTCTTCCACAACGAATGCAATTAGTTATTCTTAATGTGATAATGTGAAGATACAGTTTGAGTCTGGTCTGGTCGCTGTGACCTTTCCATTAGTCAATTTTCGTTAATACAGAACATACATGGATGTAATTAACACCATTACAGTTTACAAACAACTACAACAACATCACATCTACATTATCAACAATATGAACAGATGCGCTAAGGTGAAAGCAAAACTGAGTGTTTATGCCCCTTCTTCAGCCAATACATTGTAGTTATACTTGCTAGTTTTACAATCTCAGGAACTGTTATATCCATCTGTAGAGGGTACTATGGTATCTGTTTCAGGAATTAAAAAACTATTAGAAATACAAAGGACGTTAGCATCTAATAGACATTTTGAGAATACATTGCACCATATTATCAAGTCGTCCATCTTAAATTCATTAGCAGTACTTCAAATGTATGACTGCTCTATCAGGAAATGGTTCTAAAATACAGTTGTAGAATATTTTTATAGAAAATATAGACTGTTGAATATGTAAAGTGGTAACTCTTAGTAACAATAATGAAATATTAATCAAAGTGTCATGTACATACCTTCTTATCCTTAAAGTTTTTGTGATTTTCTGTAACGCGGAGCTGTTCCGAGATTTTATGTACCGGGCCTACCAGTTGGGAATGGCAGATGGGGGTTACGTCTTCCTTACCATGGAACTTTTTCCTAGCGATTGGCTTGGCTATTATACCGAATTCCGTCGAGGTAAGGGAGTTTTAGTATAATTTGAGGAACTTGCCAGTAAAATAAAGTTTTTGAGAAATTTTGAAATATTAAAACAAAATCGATTTTCGAAGTGTATAACAGAAGTACAAGATTTTATGTGAAACCATGCTTGAAATAAAAGAACAACACGTATTGAAATATATGAAATCTAGAAACATTGTGTTTTGAAATAGTGGTTTTCCGGAATAGCTATCCAACAGAAATATAAATATTTAAGAATGGTAATATAAAACTCTTACGATTTAATTACAGGTGATTACAAAGATGTAGGCGTAACTCGGGCATACGAGTCCGCCCTGGTTTTCACACTACATCTCCCAAAAAGTGGCAAATACCTTAATTTCGCCTCCGAAGTGAAATTGCGGGCAAGTCGAGATTATGGCTTTGACTTCGGCGACGAAACGGTAAGATACTGAAACAAAATAAGTAAGATTAGAAAAAAATGACCTTATTGTTTAATTCGAAAAGAAACATAAATGTAAATATTTTGTAACTTGGTAAGGTATGAGTAAAAACTACCCCAACACTTCACATGAGGTTTTGTTCACAACTATGTAATACTTTTGTGATTACTGACATTAAAATCTGTAAATATGAAGTTTTGATTTCGACTATTTCTGTTAAAACACTTTTGGTGTGGTTGGTTTAGTATTGTTTAACGTCCTATCAACAGCTATGGTCATTTCAGGACGGCCTCCCCTGTGTGCAAGATGCATGCGTGTAGGGTGTGCGTGTGTGTTTTGGGAGGCTGTGATATGTTCGTGTTTTTCTCCTTGTGATAGCGCGGAACACATGAACATTTGCTGTGATTGAGCATTTATCGAATCAAAACACTGACCCGTAATTTTTGGACTCCAAGACCAGTTTGAAACATGGCTAATGTCCAAAAATGTTTTATATAGCGCATGGATTAATTTGCAGACACACAGAAAAAGAAGGAAATATACAAACCTACGCGAACATTTCTCTGTTTTATATACACCCGCCAATAAGATGTAAGAAAGATTACCAGGAAGGTATGGAGATACTTCTTAATACTTAAAAAGTAAAACCTTTTTCATTCATGAAATTATTTTTCTGAATTGCAGGTAAACTATTTTATTACGGCATTTCACGACGGTGTTTTATACCTGTCCGAAGCTTTCAACCGAACGCTGGCTGACGGACAAAACATAACGGACGGTCTGAAGGTCTCCCAGAAATTATGGAACAACACATATTCGGGTAAAAATGCTTGACTGCAAGAACACTTTATTTTTTTCAGACAATTAAAACGAAGAAATCGTTTTGTGCCAGATAAGTGAAAAGAAGTCAGTTCTACAGAATGTGATTGGTTTGGTTTGGTTTAGCGTCGGATACTAGTATAGTAGTCTAGGTCATTTAAAGAATATCTCTTTGTATGTAATGTATGCATGTATTTGTGTATGTACGCTGGATGCGGTATGTTGGTTTATTAACCTTCTGACGTTAGTGCGGATCTGATGCTGACTTTAAAGTGGGTGTTTTTCTGAAATGCCATACCATTCCATCTGGTAGCGTTATCCTGACAATTGATTAAAAAGCTCTTGTGATTTCCGTAAATGCTGAGCGTCCAGCAGGATAGAAAATTGGAACCATTTTGAATGTCTTTGAAAGTCCCGGCCTAGAGACAAAACCCATTGCCCTCTTTTCTCGGAAACAAATGGTCAACACTAAGACTAGTATTGAGACTTTGCAAAGTAAGACGCTAGGAAAGAAAACGATTGTTAGGAAAAGGAGAGGAAATATAAAAATATCAAATGTTGCCATGGGTGTAGCAGATTAATCCGGTTGCTTTTGTCCCAAAATACATTATATGAAAGTAAATTCCCAGTTCTGAAGGGTTCCCACATTAGTCACCATTTGCATCATGTAGTGGGTTACAGCAGGTATATTTTTTTGTCACTCCCGGACATTCAAATCTAAGTAAATATCAGAATTATATCTTCATTGGATAATATTTCATTGAATCCACTAGTTTACACTTATTCTTTATAATACTTTACATTTCTGTATGTTAAATCTAGACACTTGATTTAAGGTATTTCTGGAACAATTGCCATTGATGAAATGGGTGACAGAATTGCTGATTTTGACTTTCTAGATATGACGGATCCTGTTTCAAAAAGCTTCAATGTACGTATATTTTAAGTGTTACCATTACCTTAATATCTCTTAAATATGGATGCAATAAATATGTTTTTCAAACCTGACTGCAATAAACTTCCAAATAACAATTCGAAAATAGTTAAAGAAGTCGATATAGAGTCGTTTTGGAATACTTAATCTGTGCAACTCTTTTCCTCAACTTTTGTTCTCAATGTGGTAATTTTTCATTTTTGTTTATAATTTATTTTTCCTTTCATTTTATTATTACATTTTGTTGTCAACAGATCGTTGGGGCGTTTAGGGGTTTTACCCAAAAATACGAGGCCGTTGCTGGGATCGAAATTCTTTGGCCGAACGGATTGCCTGTTGACATCCCCGTGTGTGGGTTTGAAAATGAACTTTGTATCTCAGGTAGCTATTTTTCTAATGAAAAATGTTTTACATACAACAACTGTATTTGTCCAATGTCATCAGTAAAATGTTGCCGATTTCATGATTGTTGGCGGCTAGACATTATATAACCTGTGGATTTTACAATCGAGACCCATCAACAGATAAGAGGTCATTAGGGCCAATAAAAGTAGACAAACATGTTAAAGGAAAAACATCAAACGAACGAAAAGGTAAAAGACAAACGTCAACTGGAATACATTGTAAAAGTGGCTATGATTTGTTATATCTTTCTGAACAGACCGACAATTTTTAGATAGTTAAGAATTGTAGAGATACTGTTTAATTTGAAAAGTGATTTGAGATCAGTTATACTATTATAAAAAAAGGACAACCTCGTCTAGGTGGAATATCTGGTATTATAGCAATTTCGATTAATGATAGGTCTAAATCCGAATTTTCTAGTAGTTTTTGAAGTGGTTTTCCAAAAGACGGGATCAATTTCTTGTTTCGTCCAAAAAGCTGTGTATACTTTGGACAAAGTACTGATTGGAGAGGTGGGTTTTCTGGGTTAGATTTTAACTGGTAAGCAAACTGTAGACATAATACACCACAGCATCCCGCCCGGTCACATTATACTGACAACGGGTGAACCAATTGTTACCATTCCCCTAAATTCTGAATGTAAATCAGGGAATAACAACTACCATTTTTAAGGACTTTGGTATGTCCCGGCCTGGGGACAGTACCCATTGCCTTCATCACCTGGGCGAACGCTCAACATAATGGTCAAACGTGAGATGCTGCCAAGCAAGGCGCCAGGAATTAAAAGGAAGGTAGAAGTAGAAAGAAATATTAAGATCCCAAATATTGAGATATTCTTTAAAGTTTTGTTGCGAATGCTCTGTAGAACAGATAAAGAATCAGAATAGATTATTGACTTCGGTACACCACTTGATTCAATGTGTTCGGTTTTTACTGTTTCATGGAGTGTAAAGTCAACTTCGGGCGAAGTCAAAAGCCATGGAGGAACATCAATTGGTTCAAATGATTGAATAACATCAACATTTATTTTGGCGTTTTCCAAGATAGATTTAATGCAAATACCAAAGGTTGGAATACACTTCGGTTTGTTTTGAAATAAAGTTTCATAATTTGGATTGAATACAAGTGAATAGGATGGATTATTTTGAAGGATTTGATTTTAATTGGATTGTATACTGCAATAACAGTTTCTCTCGACGATTATATAGTGATGGTTCGTTTGCTTCCACGTAGATAATATTTCCTATCGAATATAACGCCTAGGAATACACCGCAAGCAATGTTTCGGTAACGCAAATTCTGCAAATAAACAAAAAAACAGAAGACGACGTTTTAATTTAACATAACAAGTACTAGTAATAATAATAATAATAAAAATATACAGCATTTATATAGCGCCCTATATAATTTGTAAAATTACTCTAAGGCACTTTACAACATATGGATAATAGTTATGGTTATAATTGTGAAAACAAACAAACAAACAAATGACATAGTACGTGTACGCTCGCTATTACTACATGTACATGACACTGTATTTAATGTGTTGTCGGAGACCCTAAGGATAACATGTTTTTGAGACCTCTGCTGAGGAAAATATTGATGACTCTTAAATCAAAATATTTGTTATAGCTCTACGCTTTTTTTAATGTTGTACTTCAGAGTGCCATCTTTACAGATTTATTGAATGCAAAACGTTTCAACTATTCATCGTGAACAAATTGTATCCAGATTAGTAATGCATATTTGGAATATTTATCATTTAATATTGAAATAAATATAACATTAGTTTGATAAAATAAATGCCCTTAGTATAATGTAACTGTATGTGTATTAACAAACAAATAACCTATTTAGCTTGTGTAAATATTAATTATTCCATAATTCATATTTTATATCAATATTCAGATTTTGATTGCTATGTAAACTTTATCTTTACAAGTTTGCACGTTCGAAACCTCTCCGTCTATATGCCATAAAAACAATACGTAATTCTATTTGTATCGTCTTACTTAAGCTGAAAGCGATGACTCCAAGTTGGTTCTTCCGTTGACTCTATCATTAGGAGGGGTGCTTTTGTTAGGAATTGTTGCGGCCATCTTCACTTACAGGTACGACTTATCAACACAAATGTACGCACACACGTACACACATTACTATCTTTTGTTAATTTGAAAAACAAAACTAGCATTTATAAGCGCAGTTATATTCTAAATGCATTCAATGAATTGAAATATAATATGATTTTTTCCGTTATCTTTCCGCTGACAATACAAATAACTTGCACAATGTATTTTCTGTCTTTTCTTTTCTTCATAGCTGTTCTATTGTGATTTACCCCATTCATCTAATTATCCTACTATAGAAATGTTTTTTTTGGTTGTTTTCAAGAAAACTTAAATTTGAAATGGAAAGTGTAAAAACGCCGTGGTTGGTTACATGGGTCGACGTGGTTTTGTCCAAAGCAGATAGGAGAGGAGGATCATTTCTATCGAAGTCAAGGCTCTCTATGGCTTCTGCGGTAAGAACGAAAACAACATTATTTTAAAATGGAGTATTCTCCATTCATAAATATTTTATAAAATCTAATTTGTTACATTTTGAATACTTGATGTTATGTAGTAAGTGTTGAATCTTTTTGAGTAAATAATAATCAATAAGGAGCTACATGAAAAGGGTTTGATCGGTAAGTTTTGTTTAAGCAGCTTCTGTATCAAAAGGTTACCTTGAATTAATGCCATAAAATGACGCTTGGTGTTATAAACGAACAAATCACTGCATGTTATTTACTCAAATGATAAGAAAGTTGACATAACAGTTACATATAACTTTTGGAAAAATAATTGGAAAATTGAAACAATAAGAAAGGTAAAATAAATTAAATATCGTACAAGGAAAAAAGGAAGAGCCATGTAATGTTTTAATGTTGTATTCTTTGTTGCGGTATTTAAAATGATTGATGATGAATTCGAGGGAATTAATTAGAAAACAGTTTTTTAATTCGTTCCAATTACCCCTTGGACCAAATACAACTCGAGCGATACTTCTATGTGAAAGGTAAAACACATGTACTTATATATCTCTATTGGATCATGTGATTCATATTGATAACGTTATTGTAATAATTGCATAGGAAACGTAGTTCGTTGAGCCTCAAAAATCCAGCCAAAGTGGCCTGTAGAAAGAACATGTTACATTTAAATGACGTCACTTATCGCATAAAAGTGACGTCATGTTTTCAAACGTCAGCCAACATGACTGACTGAACATTAAACAAAAACATTTCAGAATCATGATTTAGAAAAAACATAGTTTTTAAACTGCATTTCACCGGGTGCTCTTATCGTTACCTGACTTTGGTTGTCCAACTAGATAACGTATGGCGTGAATAGTTACATTCCCCCTTAATAACAACGAACCGTCTTTAATGTGTATCATAAAAGTGTTGAGACCATGAACAATTTTCGAGGTCCTCAAAATGTCTTAAACTTATGCAAGGTTCAAGGTGAACGGATACTTTGAGATATCGGGGTTCGTATTAAAGAAGTTTGAGTGTGCTGTAAAAAATATATAATTGTTCTTAACAGGACACAGATGTTTCCCATCAACAGCTGTTTACTTCGGTTGGGAATTGTATGGGGAACGTCGTTGCCATAAGGAAATTGTCTATCCCAACCGTGGAGCTCAACAAGACAACATTACTGGAATTCCACAAGGTAAAAAGTACATACCATACCTATTGTATATAGCTGCTTTTCCGTGCTCGGGGTAGAAACATACATCATCAAATTGATTTGAATCGATTTGATCCTTCTTCCTGAATATACATACTGTGTTTAAATAAAGCGTGTATTGTCCATCTTATTTTGCCAAGAAGAAAAGCAATAGTTGTTAAAAATGAGAATTTCTCTTTTAACAAATGAAACTCTCAATGAGAAACGAATATCTCAAAAGTGAAGCTAGTTTTATTGATGCATCTTCTTTATAGAAAATCAAAAGAAAACTTTTGAGTGGAGCTCTCCTTTAATTATATCATTGAGTTACGATACTAATTTCAAATCTATAAATATTGCATTTCATTGATGATAACCTAACTTTTGAGACTAATGAATCTAGTTTGTGAATACTTTATAGGTACATGTATCATAGGTAATGTAGGTATAGGTTAATTATTAATTAAATTGATTTTGCCAGAAATTTGAATTTACCACCTGTCAGCTTTTACTAGGCTACATAAACATACATACATGTACATGCCATAAAGTTTGCTCAACATGTCCGGAGCGGTTACAAGTAGGTCGAGTGTTCACTCTATTTTACGGTTTTCCTCCTAGTTATACAGTGTGCAGCACCAGAACCTAGTCCGATTCGTCGGAGCATGCTTGGAGCCTGAGAATTGTGCTATACTTATGGAGTACTGCTCTAGAGGCAGTCTGCAGGTACGATTCACTTCATACACGATATATGTTAATGCTGCCTTGGCCAGTATTGATAAAGATATCTTCATTTTTTACCTATAGTGGTTCACTTATTACAGCAATTGATTAACATGTGTAAGTATCTGCCGGTCATATCGACAAAACAGATATTTAATAAATTCAATATGTGTGACGTGATTTTCTGCGTACTATGTGTATGGGGAGATAGACGGTTTTTAACTGAAACATTTTCGTTCAAAACAATTTTGAACACAATCGTGGAGATAAATGTACAGTATTTTCATTTTCTTCACTATAAAAAAACGTCTATTTGAACACATTTAAAGTATCACATCTATCTCTTGTGTAATATTGAGAAGTAAAGCATGTATGCAGAAAACTTAGGCTTACCAAGTTTCAATCAATGAGAAACACACATATACTGATATTGAAATAACTATTGCCAATATCCTCAATTTTAGAAAAATCACATCGTGTCTTCCCTTATCATGTAAAGAAGTTAACTTCTTTTGCAGGACATTATAGAAAATGATGACATCAACCTCGATTGGACGTTTAGATATTCTCTCATCTGGGACATTCTTAAGGTAAATGATATGATAATTCTTCACGACTCCTTAACATATAAGAAATATAAGTTCTTCACGACACAGCAACACAGCGAGGTCACGTTTACTAGGACCCTCTGCAGTCACCACAGATGACCTATTGCAATATTCAGGCTTTACAAAACGGCGTGGTCATACAGGATCCATTGAAGTCTTAATGGTCAATTTACACAATCAGCTCTGACATGTCCATACGACAGCCTCCATGGCCCATCAAATCAATAATAAAAAAAGGTTTAAATGATTGGTTTGGTTCAATTTTGTTCAACGGCATATTAACAGGTAAGGTCATTTAAGGACGTGCCTCCATGTGTGTAGTGTATCCGTGCTTGCGTGTGTGTATGCAGGAGATACGGTATGTTGTTGTGCTTGCCTCCTTGTGATAGTGCGGATCTGATGCTGACTTTATAGTGCTATCTCACTGAAACGCCATGCCGATGTGCTTGCCTCCTTGTGATAGTGCGGATCTGATGCCGACTTTATAGTGCTAGCCCTGCAGGTAGGGCGTAAGAATTGTACCTGCTGCCCCCAATTGCATGATCGTAAGAGGCGACTAAATTTGGGACCTTATCTCTTCTCTCCTTTCTAAATAACTTTCTTCTTCCTAATGTCTCCCTTGACAATGCCTCACTTTTGGCCATTTGTTGAGCGTTCGCCCCTGTGAGGAAGGCTTTGGGTTCTGTCCCCTGGCCGAGACATACCAAAGTCTTTAAAAATGGTAGTTTCTACTCCTGCTTAACGCTCAGCAAATTAGGAGTGGGACGACTGGTTCGCCCGTTGTCAGTATAATGTGACCGGGTGGGGCGTCCTGCTGGGTGTCTTCGGCAGTATGTTTCAGTGAGGTAGCACTATAAAGTCGGCATCAGTTCCGCGCTATTACAAGAAGACAAACACGAACATATCGCAGCCTCCCAAAATACACACACATACACTACACGCATGCATCTTGCACACAGGGGAGGCCGTCCTTAAATGACCTTAGCTGTTAATAGGACGTTAAACAAAATCAAACAAACAAACAAACAAACAAACAAACTTTATAGTGCTATCTCACTGAAACGCCATGCCGAAGGCACCAAGCAAATCATTCTGCCCGGTCACATTATATTGACAACGGGTGAACCAGTTGTTGCCATTTTCCGTTATGCTGAACGTTAGGCAGGGAATAACAACTACCATGTTTAAGGACTTTCGTATGTATCGGCCTGGGGACAGAACCTTTTGCCTTCCTCATCTTTGGAAACGGTCAACCTTCAAGCAAAAAATGAGGTGTTGCCAAACAAGTCACTAGGAAACTAGAAAATGCCCCTAAGACATAAATGCCCACGCTCATGGATGGGACGGGACCCGATGTGACGGGGCGGAACACAACACTATATGCCCCACCCCCACCCCATTTTATGGCGGGGGCATAATAGAAGGTTGTTAGAAGTAGAAAGAGAGATATACAGATCCAAAATATTGCAATGGGCGCTGCAGATTTATTTTGGTCGCTTTTCTGCAGGTAGGGCGTAAGAATTGTACCTGTTCTGTTACCAGGGAGCTAAACCCATTCTTGACAGGCTAACATGTACAGTCACTGTAATGCTGTGTAACAGGCATTGTAAAATTGAACACAATCCTAATTAATTTGATGAGTAATTTATATACATAGTTCCTTATTCCATACGAGGGTTCCGGATATATTTCGTTCCGTAATATTGATTAACCAATTGTACCAGATCGCACATTTGTGTGGAGAGAAGCGTACCACGTGGTGAACGATTGTTAAATCGCACAGTTGTGAGCACCATGAGTGGACGATGTGTGGACGAGGTGTGCACGATGTATGCACGATGTGCGCACACTAGTTTTGGTGCATTGTGCCATCACACAATTCTAATATATTGTTAATCACAGTATATTCGTGTTATAGTTTATTTAGCAATGTATAACAATAAAAGTAATGTAGTTATTGATAGCAATTAATAGAGGAATGATACATGAAAAAAACCCTCAAAAGATTGAACTACGCCATTTTTCTAATATGAAAACACGGAAATTAATTTCGTGCAAACATTTCGCAATTATAGGTTTTGTTTTGTAAATTGATCCCACATTGCCCGCAACCCTGTACATTCTAAACTGAATTGGTATACCAGTGTGCGTTTGCTTTCGACGTTGTTTTTTTATTCTACTTTACGATATACATTAAAAATATATTTCTCGCTCACACTTTGCTTTTTTAACATTTTAACTAATGTTTATCCTCCAGGGAATGCAGTACATCGAAAACAGTCCACTAAAATACCATGGCCGACTGAGCAGTACCAACTGTGTGATTGACAGTCGGTTTATGTTGAAGTTGACAGATTTTGGCATCCCTAGTGTATATTTCGCAGAACGCCAAGCTGTCCTTAAAAACCAGGACATAAATTACTACAGTGAGTTTTAATTTTCAAAAGCATATTAGTTTTTGATACTGATTTGTACACCATATATTTTGATAATGATTTCCACACCATATATTTTAAATACAGTGCTAAAAGTATGTTATGGTTTAGCACTAATTCATTTTGAGATGAATAATTATCACAATCGTATTAAAATCAAATCACCAGTGTATTCCATTTTGATAGAAAAAGAAAAAAACTATTCATTTGATATCAACACAAACTGATGTACTAGGTTTTAACATGAACTTATTTACTTGATATTAACATTAACTAATTTACCTGATAACAACAGGAACTGTTCCGACGTGAATTGGTCCTGGTTCACCTGCCCGGCCACGTGACTTATTTTCAAATATTTAAATGATTTGAAATGCATCAACAATATATATTGTTCAACGTCGCGAGAATTTTAATTGTGAAATGAATACTCGAAGTTCAGAATTACTCTGTAGTGACAATGGAAACATTCTTCATTTTACATATACCTTTGGGTTTCAAAATCGGGACAGGTAGTCAACAAAACATTAAATGTAAATAAATGTATGTGCATGTAAACATTTCAAAAGCCATTTGCCTTTGTAAAGGTTAACTGGCATCGACAATGCTAAAAATAAATGCATTTTTAGCAGTTACAAACAATAGTGCTTTAGGCTTTCATGACAGACGACGTTTAGTTAAGGTTGTACACATTTTTGCACGGTAGCAAGGAGAAATGACAATGACAAATTACACAATTAGTGATTTTAACTTTTCGGTCGCACTGTCCTTCGGTATTTTGTATCATTCTGGACATACAATTTTTTGTTATTCATGTTTCAATTAAATTGAACGGGTATATAATATTTGAAAAGTAAGATATTTGTATTTCGATTTGATATGTTTCCACATCTCATGTACACGAATTGCATAAGAAATAGTAATGTATGGTGCTCTAGTGTAGTACTAATATAGGACTGATCTGTCGATATATGAATGCTTTTGATATTTTGTTACTTTTGTTCAACAACAATCATCGTAAACGAACGTGGAAATATATATCTGTATGAGGGTTTCATGTTTTATCTCCCTAGAGCTGTTGTGGACTGCTCCAGAAATTCTCAGAGAAGATGCAGCCAAACTGAACAGTCTCGGCCAACATGTATACCAGAAGGGGGATGTATACGGATTCGGTATTATTCTACAGGAAATTGCCACGAGAAGTACACCGTACAGTGATATGAACTTAAACGCAGATGGTAAGTATAGAGGTTCACGGATGTATAGAGATTTAGAAAAAAACAAAGGTTTTTGTTCATGATTAATTCACTTCGTCACCTACTGCTAAGATTAACCAGCAAACATCTTTACCTTGGACACGTCATTCTAAAATTGTATTTGTACTGTTTCATGGCCTAACAACAATGCGAGTCATTTAGGGCCAAATAACACGTTAAAAAGGGCAATCACAAAAATAAATATATCAAACTAGAAACTCGTTCAATGTTGAAATATTGTTACACCTATTAAAAGTTTAACAGGTGTAACGATGTATCAAAATTGAACGAATTGGTTGTAAATCATGTCAGATCTAATCATAATGATCAATTGAGTTAAAAATAATCACATATTGATTGATCAGAAACTGTACTCAATAAACTTTTCATACACGATACATTATAGAATCTGTCACGTTTCTGTTTGAAATCGGTGCATTCAATCATAAAATGTTTGACTGTAAATGGCTAATGACAATAAAGTAGCTCTTCTTTATGTAAAATGCTACTGTGTGATGAAGGTATGGCCTATGCGTAGTCGCGAGAGGACAACCTCCTCTCAATGGCCCGCTCCACCCACTTTCCGCACATGAATCTACGTTAGGTTGAACTGCGTTTCAGATATGAAAGGTCTGGTTTCGACCCCGGGTTTTTGTGTAGAATCAATATGTGTTTCCGTTTTATTTCATGTCTAGACTCCTGATGCTAACGCCCTTTTTCATTTAGTATGTTGTTGTTGTATTAAACACTAGAAATGAGGTACAGCTACATGCATTCATTTATAATTATAGTTTATTATTATTATCTATTTGATAGAGCTCATGTTATATGATACTATCCCTTAAATTTTGTTTAAAAAATATCAAATATAGTTCCAATGTAAGACTGTCAATATTATGCCAATGTTCAACTTTAAACAGACCGTCGTCAACGTATAGTGGAATTATCTCTATTGTTTTGCCTGCAGCAGGACAGAGATCCTTAAATGATGTTAAACCATTTTTGGTGCACATTGTACGTTGTTTCGGCATTCGTTTTCATGTATCAGTTTTGAATTTGGATTTAACCATGTATACTGAGGTTTCGTTTTTGATTTATTTCTCGATAGATTTTAAACCACCAGGTTAAAGTTGAGTATTGAAATGAATCTAATACACATTTATGATATTATTCAACAAAGTACCGTTAAAAAATAGTCAATTATGATTGGTTGTACATCTTTGTGAAAGTTTGCACGGAACTGATTTTCATAACAACGCTTATACTAAAAATATATTGCATTCCTTATCTTCACGTTAATAAAACCCAAACGTTTATTAAAGCTCACGCTGGTTCTTTTGGTCCATTGAAACGATCTGATCACACTATTTTACGAATTGATGGAACACCCATGTTTGGAGGGCATAATGGTCGATTTTATGATTAACAGTTCTGTCAGAAATCGAACTTTAATCGGAACCATTCGGGAATTTCAGTCGTAATTCGAAATTTACGTCACTCAATGATTGGTCCCTAATTTCGGTGAAAAAAAATGAAAGTTTTCAATCGGTAAACGTTCACGTGTACCGTATCTTTCCAAGAACATTTTTGGTGTGTAGGTTTATACAGTATAAGGTCTGATCAACAGAAATGTATACCTGATGGAATATTACTAAAAAAAATATCTTTCCTCTATGGCAGATATCATACATCGAGTGATAACCGTGTCAACAATCCCATTCCGGCCTAATGTTTCTGGGACTGACTGCAGTAATGAACTGCTGAAACTGATAGAGATATGCTGGGACGAAACAGCAAACGATCGACCGACGTTTGATGGTATAGCATTAGGATTTAAAAAGATCAATTCGTAAGTGTGTAATGATGATTTATAGTTTTGTATGCATGATTATGCTTAAGGTACACCTTCACTGAAATTGCCATACCTAAAAATGTCAACAGTGTGCATAGGCGATTATGGGCCAGTATTGGTCTCGGCTGTAAGTACGTTCTAGAACTGATTGAAATTCTTCTAATTGAGTGTAAATATGTTTGTGAGAAAGTAAAATAAGATATATTTGGATTAAATTATATTGTCGAAGCTGTTTAAATCTTGCAAGAAATGAACAGAAATGTACAAGTATTAATGATTTTTTTAATAAATAAATCCCTTTTATAATTTGTTGATCTGAAAAATATATATATCATATGTCGAAATTTGATTAACGCGTAAGGAGCAGTTTAGTAAATGTTGTGTATTAAAACAATATCAAAAATAACAATTAATGAAACATTTTGTGACATAGATCATAAAATCAATCTGGTTTATGTCATCGGAACAACTTTTAAAAATCTTAAAATAATTTTTTTTTTCAGTATTACATTTTTGTGTGTTCAGAAGCATATTAATCATGATTCGAGAATCGAAAGAAGTAGAATAAAATATTTTCTTATGAGTACATAATTTTATTCTTAAAATGTTGTTTTTTTGAAAGTGCAAACTCAAGTAATATCATGAACAACCTGCTGAAACGCATGGAGCAATACGCGGATAATCTAGAGAGTCTGGTACAGGAGCGGACTGACGCCTACCTCGAGGAGAAGAAAAAGGCAGTAGAACTGCTTCATAGACTTTTGCCAGCGTGAGTAGATTAAGAACAACTCACAATGTTCAATAATATTTGAAACTTAAAGAAATTTTCTAAGTATGTGATTACTTGAAGTATTTGAGCATACCGTTTGAAGTATAAGACAAAACCGGATGTGTAAGTATAACAGCAATAATACACCTGTCTTCGACAGACGCCACGGGTGTTCAATAGAAGCACTATGGGGGTGTAACATGGTTTACAGATTTTCTACTCTGTGCTAGGAATGTTCTTTTTGTACTTGGAACATTTATAAATGTATCTGGCAAAGAAGTCAATTAATTTTATTTAATTTCATCAAATCTGTATGGGATTTCTCGCCTTTGTACAAAGTTGTTTTTGTGGTACATAATTATTGATCAGAAGATTAAAAATCATAGTTTTTTTTTTGAACTTCTGGTGTCAATTTTGTAGAGTTTATTACATTCAAATATTTTAATTTGTTTAGGAATTTTCTTGTTGTTAATATCTTTATGTACTATTTCTGTTTTATTCTATTGAAGGTCTGTGGCTGACCAGCTCGAGGCCGGTAAGAACGTACTTCCCGAGACCTACGACTGTGTAACCATTTACTTCAGTGATATTGTTGGCTTCACAAATATAGCATCCGACAGCACCCCGATGCAGGTAAAGTTTACCACTAGATATATGAAGTAAGGAAGCACTTGTTTTTAACATTTATTATGTCCATGCAGAAAACTTAAGTGAACGGTTTTTTTTAACGTTTGATCAAAACGTAAAACAAAAAGTTGCTACTCAAAATTAAATAAATCAACTAGAAGATTTACAAGCAATTACAATTAACTACATTCAGGGTATCATGTTAGCTTCACTACCCATACAACCGGGTAAAACTCCATATGCTTCTTTATTATTTATCCCTAATATCATGTTCTATCTTTCATTCTTAATAGTTTCCTATGTACATATTTAGAATATCGCTGTAAAGGTATACATGTATTATAAGCACTGCTTGTTATGATCGATGAGAATGACTATGTATAAGTACATTATTACAAGTTTGCCAATCATCACAATCAAATGTCTTTTGTAATTGTATATATTAATTGACATGAATAAAATACGGTTTAAACTAAAATAAAATCACTGCATCATGTAGCAGCATCGTACTTTGAGAACTCTTTAATAGTACCTATGTTTGAAATCTAAATTCACGGAGTAATTGTTCAGAAACAACAGGTATGAAGTGAAAGGTGCCTAAAACTCAATCATATCGTCATGCGTTTAAAAACCCTTTGTGTTTCAACAGATACAATGGTATCCTTGCGCAAATCAATGCGCATTATCCCAAACACTATTTGTTTGTAGCGATAGATGTTTAGTCATTAAGTTGCGTCATAAAAACACTTTGTGTCACAGTTTTTCAGATTTTTATCAATCAGCTGAACTCCTCAATTTTAAATGTTGTTCAATGATAAGTTTTCAAAATTTTGGATTTAAAATAAATCAATATATTGGTAACAGTTTTGGCTTGGTTCAAAATATAAGTAACACAAAACGATCTAAATGGCTTCGAGCCACGAAAAAAATTACTCACGAACATTTCATTTAATACAGTAAGTAAGCATAATGTACTTGCCAATAAACGCATAGATTTGAATAATTGTCGTTTTTACCTTGCAGTTATTGAACCATTTTCAATTATTTCAGGTTATAACATTGCTAAATGAGCTGTACACACACTTTGACAGGGTAATTGATAAATTGGATGTTTACAAGGTACGTATAGCCATTAACGTCGAACCCCTTAATTCATTGCCAGCTATGTATTTACAAAGAATGTAAGGTCATTCATCATCTTTAGCTTACAGTTCTGGTTTATATAGGAGCGGGGGTATTCGTTAGCTTTTGGCTTACAGTTCTAGTTTTATTTCCAACTTCCTATCAGACAGAGTATTTCGGGTACGGAACGGAACAACATTTTCGAACGTGTATGAGCAGGAAATGGGCGTCCCACAGGGAAGCATTCTTTCTGTAACACTTTTTGGGCTGAACAAAAATAGTATTGTCAAAACATTAACTCCATCTGTAGAAGGTTCACTGTAAGTGGATGGCTTTCTTATATGCTACCGATCAAAAAATTTGAATACTATCGAAAGACAGCTACAACAATCTTTAAATAAACTCCGATCTGGGCTGATGGAAACGGTTTCGAATTATCCAAATTAAAAACGGTGTGCATGTATTTTTGTCAATTACTTAAAACCCATGACGATTCCAAACTCACCCATAACAGCCAACCTATTCCTGTAGTAGAAAAGATTAAATTCCTAGGCGTTATATTCGATAGAAAATTATCGTTCCTTCCTCATATCAAGTACCTTAAAGCTAAATGCATTAAGGCACATAACCTTTTAAAGGTAATCTCCCCTACCGACTGAGGCGCTGATAAGAAAGTATTGCCAAGAATCTATAGAGCACTTATAAGATCTAAACTTGATGGTGGATCCATTGTTTACGGATCCGCAAGAGAGTCGTACCTTAAATTGGTGGATACCGTTAATCTCTAGGATCTAAGACTCGCACATGGAGCATTCAAAACCACGCCAGTCTCTAGTCTCTACGTGGAAGCAAACGAACCATCACTTTATAATCGTCGAGAGAAACTTTCATTGCAGTATACAATTCAATTAAAATCAAATCCTTCAAATCCATCATATTCACTCGTATTCAATCCAAATGATGAAACTTTATTTCAAAACAAACCAAAGTGTATTCCAACCTTTAATATTCGCATTAAATACTTCTTAGAAAACGCAAAAATAAGTGTTGATGCTATATTCAATCATTTGAAACAATTGGTATTCCTCCATGGTATTTTACTTCGCCCGAGGTTGACTTTACACTCCATGAAACAGTAAAATCTGACACTAAAATTTATGTCTTTCGTTTATCCTTTTCGAAATTGCAGTTGAAATATAAGGTCTTTAAATCATTTCACACCGATGGTCCGAAAGACGATCATAAAGTCGCCGCAGCCATAGTTGCAACAGATGCCTCTTTTGGATGCCGGTTACCAAATGATACATCAATATATTCTGCAGAAGGCCACGCTATCTATCTGACCCTTTAACACAATAAATCAAGTGGTGTGCCAAAGTCAATAATCTATTCTGAATCTTCATCAGTTCTACAGAGTATTCACAACAAAACTTTAAAAGAATATCTCAATTGGGAAAATATTACCATTATTACATAGTATTGCCTCAATAGTGAAATTATTATATTATGCTGGGTTCCCAGACATTTGGGAATACCTGGTAATGAAACGGCAGATTGCTCCCACCTTTTGATATTAAACTTCATTTTACAGATTTTAAACCGTTAATAACAATTTTTTTTTAGGTCAAAGTGGCAAAATATTTGGAATCAATGCGTAGACAATAAATTACATTGTGTCAAACCAAAAATCGGTGAATGGTATCCAAGCTATAGAGAAAACCGCCGAGACGAGGTTGTCTTTTCTTATTTATTGAAAACCGAAGACCAGCCTCAATGCATAACATGTCACGAACCATTTACAGTAACACTTGATATTAGATTGCATTGACCTTCAGCCAACAAGAGAATTTTTTTATGATAATATAACAGACCTCAAATCACTTTTCTAAAAAGTCAGTATCTCTACAATTTATAACTATTTAAAAACTGTCGGTCTGTTCAGAAAGATATAAATAAATCATAGCCACTTTTTCAATATATATTCAAGTTTAAGATTGTCTTTTACCTTTTTGTTCTTTTGATGTTTTTCCTTTAACATGTTTTGTCTCTGTATTGGCCCTAATGACCTATTATGTGTTGAAGGGCCGTTAAGAATACAATTAAAATAAAATTTATATAATAATCCGAATTTTTTGACCATAACGACTTTTCTGTGTACATGTTGACTAAATTAGATGATCTGACCACACAGGCTCTTTGTACAAGGTTTACTTGCCGAAATATACACAATTGAAGTTCCAATCTAATCCGCCCTGCTCCTTCCAGTCGCCATTTGTAAATAGGACCTAATCTCGAGCTGATGCGCGTTTGAAAGAGTCAGTATTGCAAAGCTTCTAAACGATAATGCCCAGAACATACTCTCTAAGTATAATGATTTTGATAAATTTAATATCAATTGTTTAATATATTTCTTTTGTATCATTTTCATTAATTAATAAATAAAGACAAATTGATTTTTTCCCCGTCAAACCTTTTTCGTTTATACTTTAAACTATCTTTAACTAATAAATTTCAAGATTTTGTGACATCATGTATTGAAAAATTGCATTTTTTTACGTAACCGGAAGTGCACGTGGTACGGGAACGTGACCCGGAAATAACTCACAAAAAATCAGGACGGTAATAAAAAACAGATGTGTGTCGAACATTAACAGATTAATACCGTATGTACATTGTATTGAGACATTGGTGTGTTAGAATACAACACAAGGTAAGACTCATTTAATCCATTGTTATCACATGAAGTAATAACTAACATTAATGCGAAAATATCAGCATTAAATGTTAGCGATCGCGCAGACCTACTTTCATTTTACAGTTTACATACATGTGTACATGTCGGCATCAACAGTATACCTTAACTTGTGTACTTCATCGTGCCTAAGATTATACAAAGGCGCATTAAGCTTATGTGTGTTTTTTTTGTGAAAGGGAGCTATAGGCAAACGAATGCAAATAACAAATACTACTCATTACGGTCAAACGGTATCGCATATCAGCTCTGTGTGTTAGGCACTGGCCAGGTAAAACTCCGGACACTCATCAAATTGTTATTTACCTGTTCTGTTACCTTGGAGCCAAACCCATTCTTGACAGCCTAACGGTCGCTGTAATACTGTGCAACACGCATTGTGAAATTGTATAATCTTGATTATCGCATACAAGCCTTCCGTATTTTTGTCATTTCGTAATTTTGATCTACAAATGATACGAAATCGCACAGTTGTGCGGAGAGAAGCGCACAACGGGGCGAACGATTGCTAAATCGCACAGTTGTGCGCACCATGTGAGGACGATGTGCGGACGGTGTGTGAACGATGTATGCACGGTGTGCGCACGCTATTTTTGGTGCGTTGTGCGGTCCCACAACTGTAAAACATTGTAACAGTGTAAAGGCAAACAACAAATTTTTATCATAAGATACATACGTTGAAAGGATTAAGATAAAGAGGCGAAATAATCATGCTGAACAAAACTTGGCACTAAAACAACTTAAAAAGCAGTCCAGAGGGCAGGTGATTGGGACAGCCCCTACCTAACATCCCTCTGGGTACTGCTGTACACAACTGTTTTCTTTAAACATAGCATTTATTTGTAACCTGGAGCACGGGTTTGGTAGCCGTTAATATTAAAAGACGATTTTAGTATTGATGCTGCTTGTGACGCCAGTAATGTATTTTTCGCTAACCTTAAAGCGTCGTTATCCAAAGAGAAGAATACTACGAATTGAAAAGTGTGAATTGCCTACAGTTCGTGTCAAAAGTCAAAAACGTTCCTCTCACGTTCTTTCTCGTCACCTGGATGTTGGTAAATTAGAACAGCTGGTCTCGCAGACGCTTAAACTATGTACACAAAAGTTATACCACAGTATTGTATTGTCTCAGTATGGCTACGAATGCGTTCCAGGTCAGGTAATAGAGCATCAAATGTATTAAATTCAAATATAGCATCACTTCACGACAATCATGGATTCATATGGGTACAAAGTTATCAAAATAACATTCATACAGTGCATGCAAGCTGAAATTAACAAATCATTTGTTTAAAATTACAAGTCATCATTTCCATGAAATTATCCAAATCTTTACGTCAAAATAAACTTCAGGTTTGGTTTAGTATTGTTTAATGTACGTCCTGTCAACAGCTATACATGGTCATTTAAGGACGGCCTCCCCAATTTGCAAGATCCATGCTTGTGGTGAGTGTGTGCATAATTAATTTGTGTTTTGGGAGTCTGTGGCATGTTCATGTTTGTCTCCTTGTGATAGCGCAGAACTGATGTAGACTGTATAGTGTAATGTCACTGGTGCATACTGCTGAAGACACATCTTCTTGAATTTGGTGTACAGATATATCTTGAATTGACAGATCTGTCAGATCAGGACAAATTACTTAAATTGAGGTCTACATGAAGAGTTATGTCCCTTCACTCTCTTTTGCCAGAATACACGATTCAAACAATTTTCTACTTGAGTTATCGAACAATGTACATGAGATGGGGGTCTACTACTTGGGGACATTGAACAGACCAAAATAGATCTTCTGCCCATTGCAACACACTTGGGATCTTAAAACTTTCCTTTATTTCTTCACTGTTCTGCCTTTCTGTGCTTTGTCGTGCCGCCTGCGAAGCATGGCGAACACTTAAGGATCACCGTCATCACACGTTGTCGTTGACGGAAGCAGTCACATTTAAGTTTCCAGACTTTTCCCCCCACCATTTACCATATCAATTTGTAACTTGTATGTGGCTTAATCATAATAGATTACAGATCAAGTTCGAACCACGCGCAAATATTTTATTTTTTTGCTGGAGTTACATGTATGACCCTTTGCACATTGGAGTTTCTCATAATTAACTGTTTGCCATACTTTGTTCGTTACCGCTTGCCACTTAGTATGTGGCTTTATCATAATGGATTACAGTTCGAGTCCAAACCCTGTGTCAATATTGCATTCGTTGCTCCAGTTAATGCCCTTTGCACATAAGAAATATCATAATTAATTGTTTTCCAGGACTTCTTTTCGCTACCACTTGCAACATCAGTTTGTTACTTAATATGTGGCTTTGTCATAATGGATTACAGTTTGAGTTCGAACCCTGTGTTAATATTCCATTTTTGGCTGGAGTTATGGCCCTTTGCAATAATCAAAATTAACTTCTTTTTTTAACTTATTTTCGCTACCGCTTGCCATATAAATTTGAAACTTTGTTTTTGACTTTATCATAATGGATTACAGAGTTTGAATCATGTATTAATATTCCATTTTTGACTGGAGTTATGGCCGTTTTTACATAAGAAATTCTCATCATTAACTGTTTACCATATTATTTGTAACTTATTATACATGTATAATGGATTATAGTTGGAGTTATAATCCTGTGTCAATGTTCTATTTTTTCTGGAGTCATAGTCCTTTGCACATAGGAAATTCTTGTTTTTAACTCTATTTTTTTTTTGGCGACCACTTGCTACATCAATATGTAACTTGATGCTTGACTTTTTCTTCAATGATGGATTACAGTTTTGAGTTTGATCCTCATGTCAAATTTTATCTATTGCTGGAGGCATCACACAGGCACATGCAATACGTACCATGCACTCATGATACCATCCACATATGACCCCAGATGTTGTGTAAACGTTAAGCTCCCTCAACCAACTAACAAGCAATTGAAAGCATAATGCTTTTCATATCGTGACCATGATATTTCAAAATTACACCTTTTAATTGTGTGGGTGTCGGCAACACATCCACTTCCTTCGAATTGTTGTTTACTTCTATAGGTGTCTCCCAGACCCCCGTCCTCATACAAATGTATGACCCTGGCTGTTGCGAGGACATAAATCACCTACTAGAGAACATCCTTTTAAGTCATTCTGTATGGCATGATGATGTTTTCAAACCAATGGTCTGGAGCATAACTTGTTCAAGAAGACTGAATGCCGTTTAACAGGGGGTCTCTCTTATAATACTCTGGCTCCCTAGGGGTAGTGATAATAAATACTCTGGCTCCCTAGGGGGAGTGGGTGGGTCCCATAGGGGGATTCTCCAATTTAATAACACATTTTGTTGATAGGACCCATGCATATCTTCAGTAATCAGGTTTTCCGTCTGTCTGTCCTATCTGTTTTTAGCTTGGTTGGATTGCTTTCAGACTTTATCCAGTGCTTTTTTTGAAGAAAGTGCTTGCTTTGAATAGTTTTTCATGCCCGGCGGTCAAAGGTCAATATCACTGTTACCATGAATAGAAAATTAGTTTTGGCACAATATTTCAAATTCTATTGGGATAATTACACTCAGACGTTATCAAGTGCTACCTAGGAGAAAGTGCCTGCTTTGGCGCTTTGGTGGTGAAATGTTAAGGTCATTGTTACTTTAGAAAGTATTTACTTAGGATAGAAATTGTAGCTTTGTGGGCATCGATGTCAAAGTTCAAGGTTAATATTACTATAAATAAAAAAACACTTCATGCACAGTATTTGGAGCTCTTTTGTGCCGTATGCACTCAGACTTTATCCAGTGTAATAAAATGTTTGCTGAAGCCTTGGAATAGCTTTTCAGCCTTGGATATCAAAGGTCAAGGTCACTTACTATAAATAAAACATCAGTTTCTGAAGAAAGTGCCTGCATGGGATAACTTTTCAGGTCCAGTGGTCAAAGGTCAATGGGTCACTATAAATAGGTCAAAGGTCAATGGGTCACTACAAATCGAAAAATCTGTTTTTAAATGCACTAATGCACGATATCTTGATTTATCTTGGGCTGATTACACTCTGACTTTATCCAGTGCTTCCTAAAAGAAATTGCCTGCTTGGGATAACTTTCAAGGGCCGGGGGTTAGGTTTCTATTACTATTACTATATGAATAGAAAATAAGTTTATAAAATGCACTATATATATATATATTGAGTTCTGTATGGCTTATTACACTCAATACTTTATCCAGTGCTTGCTTTCATTAGTGTTTGATACATGTATACCTAACCACAGTGTCTTTAAATCTTCAATAAACATAATTATGGAGAATAGTCACGGCGGCTTTTAATATATAGATATATAAATCTTATTACCGGTTAGCTTGAAATAATAACAATAATATTCATCACATTTGGCTTTAGTGTTGTTGTTTACTGGATAAAGGCTCCTTTTAGGTACAGCCTCCATTATTTTTCTGCACAATTGTATTGTTTAATCTATTTCATATATTATTATTGATCTAAAAACGCAAAATTATCGAAAAATACATAAGTCTCAAATCTTTAAATATATAATTAAGCGTGACATACTATTTTTTCAGCATATAAAAATCATAATTGTGATGTGTAAATAATGCATACAATGAATGTATAATTTTATATACCTGAAGGTCGAAACGATAGGAGACGCATATATGGTAGTGTCAGGATTACCTACGAGGAACGGCAATCTGCATGCAATTAATATTGCAAAGATGGCGCTTGAAATCCGGCAAACTGTCAAGACCTTCACAATCAAACACCTTCCAGATACTAGTCTGAATATACGGATCGGCCTTCACTCAGGTAATTCAAAATAATGAAATTAATATGAAAACTAAAAAGTGTTTTATATAAAGGTAAGGACTGTTGTATCAATACAAGGGATGATCTGTTCTATTTTACGTGATATATGTACCTGTGGGGAAAAAAATAAACGGTGAAAATGTATAGGATGTAAGAATACAAAGGATGATAGCAGTAATACTTAGGTATGTTACATGTAAGTTACATGTGTTGTATTAAAACTATGAATGCCTGGTAATGAGTGCTGTATTAGTTGTAGGGATTGTTAGTAAAACGTTTTGTTTTGAGATACAAGAAAAAGTAATTAATACGAATAGATATAGAGTTTATGTAGGTAAGGAGTGTTGTATTAGTTGTAGGGATTGTAAGTAAGATAGTTTGTTTCAATTCTTGGGATAATAGTATTGGATTGTTGTACTTATACTAGGGATATTAATTGATAAGGTAGGGAATGTTGTAATAATTGTAGGGATTGTACGTGTGATGTTCTGATGATTTACTAGATAATAGGATAGGTGTGGTATTAAAACGATGGATATGAGGTTATTAGATAAGGAGTGATGTATTAATACTTAGGGTGGGGAGTAAATAATTGCTGTGTCAATATTAGGGTTTGTGAGTAGGGAATGTTGTATTGAGACTCAATAAAATAGGTTAAGAGTATTGTATTTAAACTAGGAATAATATGTTACAATGTAGGAGTACTGTATTAATAATAGGGATAACACGTATAAGGCTTATTGCATTATCAGGTTAATTCGATGTATCATGCATCGTCGAACATCATATGCTTTATTTCTACATTTGACTTCACATATAACGTTAAGATTAAATAAGGTAAGTGGTTGTAATATTAGAAATTTTATTTTTTTCTTCTTATTTTACAACAGCTACTGTGATGATGCTAGTTTGTAAACGTTTTATTGAATTACTCTTGTTAGAATGAATGGTTTTGTGCAGAGGTACATAATACTCCGAGGAAATTGTTAAATACAAATAAATGACACATTGAGATTTAACTACCATGCATAATAGTTTACTGACTACAATACTATCTAGATACAGTATGTTAATATAAATACTAGGAGGTACAAGTAATGGAAGATATGTTTTGGCTTAAGATTAAGAACCTATAGAAGCATCAAATATATGAAATGTTTCCATGTTTGCAGGGTCGGTTGTGGCTGGAGTAGTTGGACTGACCATGCCTCGGTACTGTCTGTTTGGGGATACCGTCAATACAGCGTCACGTATGGAGTCTACGTCAGAAGGTATTATAACGCCACATTTTCTATGGAGAAAAAAACATGATAATTATATACTGTAAAAGCATATATTTTCGTTGGGGTTAAAATTCGTTGTTTTTGTTTTGGGACAAATTCGTTGGGATAATATTTCGTGGAATCAATATTTTAAAACCCTGTTTTTTTTGTATATTTTTTTTGACACCTGCACAATTAGAGAATAGGTTCGGTTAATTGTACATCCCTCGAGTTGATCACCTGTCCACTCCAGGTGAATTTTTCAAACCTCGCTTCACCTCAGTCTGTGGAAAACAATTGATCGACCATCGCTCGATGGTCATATAATTTAGTCTAAACAAACATGTGTGGTAGTTAATAGCTATCTAAAATGGAAATGATTAGGCCTAACGACATTTCGTAACACGAACTCTGATCAGAAAACGAGCATGCATTTCATAAATATGTACGGTTACCTTGGCACATCATGTGAGAAAATCCTGCCGATTTCAATGAAAATATTACTCCAGAAGGACAACGTGTGTTTTAATCATTAAAGAACTAGTTTCTCTATTGCATTAGAAATTTATTTCCCCGTGTCTCCATTGAAAAAGTATCAAAATCAGGGCATGCCGTCCTGACAGCATGGTGCCGGAGTTCGATCCTTTAACGTTATTGTCGTAAACAACTGAAGACGACTGCTTTATTTACACTATTGGATTATTATTATTATTATTAAAAGGGAATATTTAGTGTTTTTTGTTATTGTTTCTATACAAGTTGATTTCACCGCACGATTAAGGTAATTATAAGACCGGGCGAGATAAACTCACTCGATAGGAATCGGTCAAATTCATCATGCTCTATAGTCAACATACAATATGAACAAAGAGCGATGTAGGGTCCTTCCTGTGTTACAAATATAACGTTTGATTGACATGCTATTGTTATTAGTGTTTCCTCTGTGCCTGTGACGATAATTACAACGTTTATCATGACTTGTGTCTAAATGTAAATACAGTATGGGTTTGTAATTAAATCAATCTTTTAGTTTATATTTCGTGTGCTTAAAATTTCGTTGGGATTATGTTTCGTGGTTTTTATAAAACCACGAAATATACGAATTTAAATCCCCAACGAAATATTATGCTTTTACAGCAGACGCCCATAACCCGATATCAGGCTATTTTTGAATAAATGTACTATTTTTTACATTTGTTTTATATTCTGTGATTTGACGCTATGGTATTCATTTTATATTGATCATGCATGTGTGTTGACGCTATGGTATTTGTTTTTTATATTGATCATGCATGTGTGTTGACGCTATGGTATTTGTTTTTTGTATTGACATTGTGTGTTGAGTCCATGATATTGCTTATTCTATTGATCCTGTGTCGAATATGTCATGTTTGTTTCTTATTGATTCTGTGTGTTGACGCGTTGGTGTTTGCTTATTTTTACTTTTTTTTGTATTGACGCTATTATATTTGTCAAGATCATGTATATTGGCGCTATGGTATTGGTTTCCAATCTGAATATTTGGCTTTGGTTTATGGCGCTTTCTCTTTGTTGTTTTCGTTGTGTAGAAAGACATATTTGATTTTAATCATCCATAATGTGCTTGCTCTGTGTTATTTACTTGCTAGCTGACCCTTCTCTTCTCCACTATCAATGCATCTAATATATAAATGCCTTCCCAACCTTATCGCGTTGAATTAACAATTGACAAAATGATTATGTTTTTACCTTTCTTTCTTATCTCTGCAATTTATTATCGCCTAAACTTGTTTTTTTTTCCAGACAAGTTAGCGTGTACATGTTGATGTCTATTTGCCACAAGGAAATAAGCAATTATGATATTTTTAATCCTTTTATTAATTTGTAACATGCAGTTAATATTTATTGGACGTGTTTATTGCAGCGATGTGCATTCAAATATCCTCTTCGACCCGAAAAATTCTGGAAACCTTCAACGAATACGAAATAGATGAAAGAGGAGAGGTCGAAATCAAGGTTAGATTTAATGTAATTTTTTGTTAAGTTTCTTAACTCGATAACAATTGCATTTTTAATGATTTAGCAAGCAGGCCTTAATGCCCACTTATGTGTATTGATTTAAAAACTTATTTGCTCCATTTCTGTTTTAAACGTTTTTAGTGATCCGCTAAAAAGACTTCATGTAACTGGCTGAACATTGAGGATTCTAAATTTATCTGACACCTTATTAAAAACCTGTTTTTCCTTACGTCAATACAACGCTTGGTAGGATAAAACGCACCGTACAGCTGGACCTAAGCGATATGTTTGGAACCATTCAGACAATTTGTTTAATAAGATATGAATAGTCTAACAGGCTGTGTAAACACTTGAAAGGGAATAAAGGATCTAAATACAATCTACGTTTAGATAGAGGTGGTAAATTGAAAGAATCACAGATTTCTTCATAAGATGAAACACGACAGTCAAGCTTTGCTTTAAAGCATAAAAATGTAGGAAATATTTTCTGAACTACTTCTAATTCATGTGCTTAAATAGTCCGATATGGACACCATATTTCTCAAGTATATTCTAGTTTGCTTCTGACCATACTAAAAAACCAGAACGGATGGCAGATCTAAATACATTCTACGTTTAGATAGAGGTGGTAAATTAAAAGAATCACAGATTTTCATAAGATGAAACATGACTGACAGCCAAGCTTTGCTTTAGAGCATAGAAATGTAAGAAATATTTTCTGAACTACTTCTAATTCATATGCCAAAGTAGTCCGATATCTCAAGCATATTCTAGTTTGCTTCTGACCATACTAATATATAAAGAACGTATGACAGATGTATCAGTAAAATTTCTACATGTACGTTTCAGGAAGCCAAATGTTTGCATTGCCTTGGATACAACCTTTTTTTAACGTGAAAATTAAAATTAAAGATTGATGACATTCATACGCCAAAGTCTTTCACACAATTTTCACTCTTCAATTTTTTAACTCCCATGGTGTTCTTAACATCTTTGAACTTTTTTTTATTTTTTAAAAGGAATTTGACAACATTTCGTCACATTCACTGACAGACTCCTGTCAGCACACCATGTGTACACCTGGTCAACATCTGGCTGAATAAGTTTATAGTCAGAAGCTTTTCCTGCCGATTTGTATATTTTACCATCATCTGCGAATAACACGACTTTTGAAATCTCCACAACAGATTGATGGTCATTGATAAACATTTAACAGCTTTGGTCCGATTATAGAACCCAGAGGTACACCGGAAGTGACATTACACCAATCGGAAGTTACCTCATTTACTGTTACACACTGAAGCCTGTCACTCAAGTAACTCGTGAACCATTAAAACAGATTACCATTAACATAATATGATGACAGTTTGTGTACTTATAATTAATGATTAACTCAAAAGCTTGAGTGCGCTTCCTTCTTTTCTTCAAACGATTTTGTAATGAAATATGTAAGACAAGCAATGTTTGTATTGGTTGACATAAACAATGTTGTTTATAAACTATCAAAGGGTCCATCAAATCAAATTTGTCTTTCATTTACGAGTTTTTCAAAAACTTTTGATAAGATAGGCAACATGGACACTTGTCTATATTCGGAAACGTCATTCCTTTTACATGTACCAGCCTTCAAAATTGACATCTTATGAACACCGTTCGATTGCCCGTCTCTAGGTACGTGTACGTATGCATTGAATTTTTCGAACAGCACAACACGTCCAAAATGTACCTTATACCCATTGTGCTATTCGAAAATAAAACTACTTGATATATCTAGAAGCCAATCCGAACAATTGCTCCACTCCGAATGGCTCATCAACGTCCGGAAACACCACAATGACTATACTCAACAAAGCGGCACACAGTGTGATCAACACGGTCGCCATCTTGAAATAAAAGTTGATGATGATACTTTATAGGAACTGACAAATGATGATGTCTTCACGAACGCGAAACATATATTGTGTTGAGCCTTTAACACAGACTATGTTCCTCACAACCACGTACGAGTTGTATTCGAAAACTTACAATTTATGTTTAAATGCAATTAAGATTGTTAACTTTTTTTATAATTTATCCTTTTGAAATATAGTCGTGATTTTTGTTTTTGGGTTGGGGAAAGGGAAGGTAAAATATGTTATTGTTTTATGGCTAACGGATATAATGCGATACAAAACTCCGTTCTCTGGAATATATGCATTTTTCCCATTTTTTTATTGCCATGTCGTTATGTGGAGACTGTAAAACAGATATAATCCGGATATATATATTCATTTATTTGCAAAAAAATATAAATTTATTCCATAAAATGTATTAGTTCAGAAAAAAACTTTTATTGTTTGTCATCTTTGATCGGCAAAGCCCTGCATTTGGAAAGGACGAAATTTCCAGGAAGTTACTCCTCGTTTCCTTTTCAGGGGAAGGGACTGATGCGAACGTCTTGGCTGATCGGTACAAAAGAAGCGGACGAAGAAATTGCCTTTCCAGATCCTGATACTTTAGCGAAATAAACACTAAAAAGGTGCTCTGCGGAAAGGGATGATACTCAAGAGACTGTAATACTTGTTTGAGATGAACCCTGAACGTGTATTTCGTTATCTGAATTGATGTAATAAATGAAACTGTAGTATTCGAAAATCTCTCTTTTCCGTCCAAACATTATTATATCTACTTGTGTGGTTTAATAAAGACAACGTAATGAAAAATCCTAACAAATCATATCGCATAACTTATCTTTTTAAGACATTGTGAAATTGAGCAAAACAAATTGTAGTATGTTTTTCTACTATACTACTAGAACATTTTAGGATAAATTTTAGATTTGGATCCATGGGAACACAAATACTCAAAATGAACATACAGATGGTATTCAGATTTAAACTACTTTTGAACTATTCAAATATGAAGCGTTACATTTTGTCAGAATAGGAATATTTATTAAAGTGAATAATGTGTTCTATTTACTTCAAGGTCACTACAAAAGGCAACAAGGTGCATATACATTCTACTTTGTTTGGCTTTATTCATTAATACATTGTATTTTGTCAAAAAGTGTTTCCTTAATTTGAATTTTTAGTTACTATATTTCGGGAAAGGCATTGATACTTACCGTATTTCTCAATGTTTAAAACAAAAAATGTGGCTATTGATTATTTTGTGATATTGTAAAAATGCTTTCATATTTATACGGTTGACATATGTTAGGGCCTTTGGTATGCCCAAACCTGGGGACAGAAAAAAACTACCCCACTGACAAAAACAATGTCCTCTGTCACATTGATAAACGCCACGTAAGGGCCTATGAATTATTAAAACTTATACTTGTTCCCACAAACATTGCTATAAACATGTAAACATGCAGGTAGGGCGTAAGAAGTGTACCAGCTGCCTCATTGCATGATCGTAAGATGCGACTAAATTTGTGATCTTATCTCTTCTCTACTCTCTAAATAACTTTCTTCTTCCTAATGTCACCCTTGACAATGCCTCACTTTTGGCCATTTGTTGAGCGTTCGCCCATGTGAGGAAGGCTTTTGGTTCTGTCCCCTGGCCGAGACATACCAAAGTCTTTAAAAATGGTAGTGTCTACTCCTGCTTAACGGTCAGCAAATTAGGAGTGGGACGACTGGTTCACCCGTTGTCAGCATAATGTGACCGGGTGGGGCGTCCTGCTGGGTGTCTTCGGCAGTATGTTTCATTGCGGTAGCACTATACAGTCGGCATCAGTTCCGGGCTATCACAAGGAGACAAACACGAACATATCGCTGCCTCCCAAAACACACACGAATACACTACACGCATGCATCTTGCACACAGGGGAGGCCGTCCTTAAATGACCATAGCTGTTGATAGGACGTTAAACAATACTAAACCAAACCAAACCAAACCAAATAGCAAAAAAACCTTGGCCAAATATCATCACCCTGGGTATTTTGGTTATTCAGAAGAAGTTGTATAAATTGTTTATTTTATACATAGTTGACCCCTGTGACCTTGAATATGAGTGAAAGACATTAATTTGAACAAACTTGGTAGACCTTTACATCAGCATTATACTCACCAAATATCAACATCCTGGTCATTTTGGTTAATTCACAAGAAGTTGTTGAAAGTAAAAAGTTAACGCCGGACGCACCACGGCATAAGCGCACTTGGCCCCCGAGCCAGGTGAGCTAAAAATGACATGTAACAGTTTTTGGTAAATTTTTTTATAGTATCAAACACAAATTACAGTACCACACGGTAGTCCAGTGGTAGGACGCCGGGCTCGTGACCGAAGGGTTGCGGGTTCACGCCACGGCACGGCAATGTGTTGTTTCCTTGAGCAAGATACTTTACTCCGCTTGTTCCAGTCTACTCAGCTGTAAATGAGTACGTGGTTGGGCAGTGCTAAAATTGTTGAATGCTAGCGTTTAGCGCCGAAATGGCAGCTCCGGCTGTATGGTCCCCAGGGAGGTGAGAAATATACTGGCTAGTTGCAAAGGCGCTATAACCACGGATAATAATTTGTGAACCGCTTTGAGACGACCTACGAACTAGGTTGTGATAAAGCGGTATACAAGAACCTGCAATTATTATTATTATGATTGAGTTCATCTCTCGATGCCCAGCAATGGTATATATGGTAACGGAATGGGGATTTCAACATTTCCCCCCTATCTTCTAACTAATTGGCCCCGCCCTTCTAACCCCTGGGGAGCGACATCATTCGTTAATACAAAAGTTCATTCCTTTTGCCCAAGGATGTTCTAGACAAAATTTTGCTAAAATCCCTCTTTTTGTATAGGAGAAGAAATTCAAATGATTTACCTAAATTTCCCCTTTTAGGTCCCCGCCCGTCTGCCCTAGAGGGTCACTCCCCCATTTATAAACAACTGCATGAGTCACCTTTACCAACGGATGCTTAACACCAAATTTGGTTCAAATCACTCAACTCATAAGGAGGGAGGAGGATTTTAAACATTTTCACCATGTCCTCCCATTTGCCCACAGGGGAGCGACACACTGTGTTTATGCAAAAGTGAATTCCCCTTGCCCAAGGAAGTTCTACACCAAATTTGGTTAAAATCCCTCTATTCGTACAGAAGGATAACTTATTATTATTTACCATAATTCCCATCTAAGCCCCCCCCCCCCGCCCCTCTGTTCCCAGGTGGCCACATACTCTATTCATGCAAATGATAGTCCCCTTTACCCAAGCATGCTCTTAGCCAAATTTGGTTCAACTCCTTTCATTCACACAGAAGGAGAAAGTTTTGGAACATTTCCCCTTTTGCTCACTCTAATGCCCTGTCCCTCCGTCCCCAGGATTTTCCTAAGGATGCTTTACTCCAAATTTTCTTTGAATTCCTCTATTCGTACAAAATGAGATTTTCCTGCCAAAGGATGTTGTTCTAGATACACTAGTAAACATTCCCTCCATTTATTTAACTCAATTCCCCTTATTGGGGGCGCCCCTTTGCCCTCGCGGTGATTTTAATGACTGTGGGCAGGTGACCTAAACAAATATAAAAGGAAATAAACAAGTGTTCTGATGGTCAAAAATGTTTAAATTTCGATCCCCGGACCTCGGATCATTATGCTGTATCAACGGTAGTACCAAACACTGATTGCGCTACAGTCATATCCAACGCGAATTAAGGGTAAATACATATCTACAAAACTTAGTGGACTTTTTCAGTGATTTACCTACAGTGGGACAGGATTTTGTTCGATAAAAATGAGATTTTCAGGTTGTCATTAAGCTAAATAGCCATTTTAATACATATCAGGTCATTACTACTATGAACAATCAAGCGAGAGCTTAAGACAACTCACTCTCCGAAGAATTTCGGTTCGATCCCCAGCGGTGGCGGAAAAAAGAGAGTGAAGTCTGATAGGGTTAGTAGTTATCCCTCCGATGGCACGTTGGTTTTCCTTCATTACGAAAACAACATTTGTTCCATTTGCTGCGTCGTAATAAAAGCTCTACAGAGCTTATGTTTGTTGTTGACAGTGTACACGACGATAAATAAGATTATTTATTTATTCTTATAATTGTTAACGAGTTATTGGTCTTTTAGCTTTGGCATGCTTTTTTTCTTTTATTATTCCTTTTTGTCGTTTGGCCTTTTGAAATGTCATATATGTGTTATTTCCATATTTTGAAAGTACATGAACAGAGGTTTTTTTTTTTTGTTTTTTTGTCACATCCTAAGGTCATTTAAGGGCGTTCCTCCATGTATGTTGTGCAAGCATTCATGTGTGTGTTTGCTGAAGGCAGTGTATTTTGGTACTTACTTCTGTCTTCCATAAACTGTTTAATGACTGATTGCTCTTCAACACAGTCGACCATGACCAGAGAAGTCCCATCGGCAGCACAGGCATCTCGCCCGTCACTCCATGGGAGTTGAATAGGCACCAACTTAAAGCAACTTTCGGTAAAAATGTCACAGTCATATCCATTGCTCATTCAACCGACTACTGTAAAATTAGTTAAACGTATTTGACATTATTGATTTCTAATTCGAAATGATGGGCAGAATGTCAGAAAACAACCTTAACGTCATTTTCGGTTTGGTAAAAAAATAAATAAATATACATATAAGTATAACAAACATAAGTTTTAAAGTGAAAAAAGAAATGATATACAAAGCCGTGCACCTTACTAAATTGCAATATGTTTGTGTCTACCAGGCACAAAGTAACTATGTGTATATGTGCAAGTATGTCATATAAGAAAAAGAAAACGTCTTTATTGATAATAACTGTGGTGTCAACAATCAACGGAAAAGTAACGGCATATTTACAAGGGTTAACGTACCACAGAAGTATTCTGTTTTTTTTCTTTCTACAAAACTAACTTAAATAGGTCATCGATATGAGAATTTGTTTGCTTACGCAACTTAGTTTGTATTGCATAAATTTTCCTGACTCCATGAGATTTTGGAGATGTTGGCTTATTAAAATCTGCATGCAGAGATTAAACTTTTAAATGTTTGCAAAGAAGGATAATATTTAGACAAAACGTCCCAATGTGCATGTCAATCACTAAAAATTAAGAACACAGTAACAAGTTTCAATTCAAATTTCACTATTTAAATCGAAACAAGGTAAAATAATAATAACTTTTGGTATTCATGGCTAAAACTGATTACATGTAATCATAATTTAGCCCAGGGAACTTTTACATTTCTAAAATTTGATAAATGATATCTTCTACATCATTAAAATAGTTTTGTTTGTATGTTTCGTTGTGTTGTACGTCTTGTTAACAGCTATGGTCATTCAAGGACGTGCCAGGTTTTAGTATTGGAGGAAAGCCGGAGTACCCGGAGAAAACGACCGACATGCAACAAGTACCCGCAGGCGACTACCCAACGGTCATGTGTTGGCCTGGAACCTGCGACCCAGTGGTGAAGGGCTAATGTTAGCAAAATATCAGACGCCTTAACAACTGGGCCACCGAGGCCCTCATTACAATAGAAAAATTAAAATGTTTTAAAAGCACCATTTGCAGACGATCGAGTTAAAATTAATACTTTTTTTGTTTATTCAATATATTATCTGACCATATCAATAATGTATCTATAATACCACATGAGACGCATTTTGCGCGGCTTTAAAGCTGACTGAGCAGTAATTGTGAGCAGATGATGATTAATGCAATCAT